ATACCGTTCTTCGCCCGTTAAAAAAAAGGCGACCGCCTGCCGTTGCGGCCGTGACGACTCCTGCGCGCCTCTTGCCTTGCCCTGCCTCCCCTCCGCCCACCCCTCCCAGCGCCGCCGCCGGAGCGGCCACGGAGCCCGCCCGCGCGCCGCCCCGCGGCGCCGCGGCGCGCCCGGCCGCGCACGAGGGGCCCGGGGCCACGCAGGCTGCCGCGGCACCGCACCGGCCGGCCGCGTCGGCCGGGGGCCCCGCAGTCGTCGGGGGCCTTCAGGCGAGGCAAACGTTACGTCGGGCCTGTCCCCCTACAGGGGGGTTTTCGACGAAAAATTAAACATACCCCCAAAATAGTCCAAAAATAATGCAAAAATAGTCTAGGGACTATTTTCTAGTATGTTGTGACCTTCTTGGGGTATGTTTGGGGTACTTTTTATTTTTCGTCGAAAATCCCCCTGTAGGGGGACAGGCCCGACTTAAGGCAAACGGGGGTCAGCAAGAGCGCTGTATCTTGCAGGATCCTGCAGGGCCGGGTCGCATTGGCCCGGGTTTGGGTGCAGGATCCTGAAGTATCCTGCAGGATTTTGCCAGATCCTGCAAAGCCCGACAGACCCGGGTTTGGATCGACCCAGGTCAGTACATCCCCGACGCAGTCGGCTTCGCGTAAGAGGGACCTTTTCGTCGGAGTGACCGTTGCGGTCGGAGGAGGAAAAGGTGCCCATATTGCGACCCGTCCTTCGTGTTCGCCTTTCGGGCCTCCTGGGAGGCCCTCGTCGCCACCGCTGGAGTCGCCTCGAAATCCTGGTCCGAACGCACCCCGGGAGAGGTCCGGGGGTAGCGGTATCGGTACGTTTCGGTTTCCCCAGGAGTGACCGTTGGTGCGGGATCGCAGCGGTTCCCCCAGGTTTGGCTTGCGCGATTGGACTCGGCCTACCCGCGGCCCCCCGAAGTTGGTGCGTGCAGTCGACGCAGGGAGGGTGGGTCCAAGTTACGTAGATGGGGGTGGTGGCTCCATGCGGAGCCCGATTTTCTACACGGCGACGGCGCTGGTGCATCGCTGACGTCTCCGATGCATCGGCGATGCGGCGCGAGCCTCCGACCCCATCTGGTCGGGCTCCTTCTGGAGGGCCTCCAGTAGCGCCAGCCGGGGTGGTCGGCCAGGCGGCCCGCAGGGAGGGAGGGCCAGGGGGGTGGGGACTGAAGGAGCGCGTGGGCACCGTGGCCTCTGTGGCTCTGACAAAAGTGTGGCTACTTCACTGGGCTGTAGTCTGGGCACGCCACGGCCGTGGAGACGGCAGCGGGCAAGACAGGGCGGAAGAGTGCGGGAGAAGCAAGAAGACGGGCGAGCACGACAGGGCCGAAGAGGGCGGAGGAGGGGGACGTGGATGGTGTGAGCACCTTTCATTTGCACAAGAAAGCAATTTCGGCCCAGGTTCCTTTGGCGGTACGTAAACTTGCGCAGCTGAGCACGTGTGATTGTGCTCCTCCTGCAGAGACGGGAAGCTCCAGGGCGCTGGAATCACTCGCGCCACACCAGCAGGGATATGCGACTGTAAATATCGATGAGCGCATACCAGGAGGAAAAGGGGGATAGCTGCAAAGCAGGAGTCAAGCATTGGACGCCCATTTCGCTTAATGAGAGCACGAGGCGCACAAGAGAGACACGGATGCTTCAACAGCAGTCTGGAAGCAACGATTTTGAGAGCATTCCAAAGGTATTCAAGGCACCGCAAATCAAGGACCAGGGACGAAATCGAACGCTCGTGGTCCACAGCCAGACACCCGGCCACGCATTGAGTGACCGAACTTATCACCTTGCCTATTTTCTTCTGAAGGGAGCGATTCGCACACCAAGTCTGATAGCAACAGTTCGGATGTGGGGCCACAACCGGATACAAGAGCCTCACGAGCCATCAAAGCCGACACACACGGAGGGGTCGTCAATCTTCATGTCAAGTCAGACACGAGGTCTTTCTGGTGATGCGGGAATGCACGATTCCAGCGCATCTTGCCGCGAAATATTCGACGAAACCGTTAGCAGCAGACATATTTGCTCTCAGCTCCTCATCATCACTCCATCCAACGGCCCAACGGCAAGCGATGGTATTGACGCGCCGGGCACGAGGGAGATCCAACGTTCCCGGAAGAAACCTTTGTTTCCATTCAAGGTAACAGCACACAGCGTCACATTCACCAGGAGATAAACTATTGCCCCGGACTAGTTATGCCCACCTACGGAGCAAACAGACCATGGCCAAAGTGGAGAAAAGAGTAAAACAAATCCATTTGCACGATTCGTTTAATGTCGGATGGCCTTCGGTCCATGCCGCCACCTGCCTGGGTCGTTGGTATGAAGCCTCTTGGACGTTCGTTGGGATCTCGTGGGAGGCCTCTCGGGGGCAGTTTGGAGGCGAGCGCGGCGCGGCTGCGGCGCCCACAGCCATCTCGGCGGTCTTCCCTGGGAAGGAGAAGCTATGGAGAAGATAGAGGGAAGAGGGAACTGAGGTGGTCGAGGGGAGGGGGCCACGGACCAGGGAAGCAACGATGAGTGGCGTTGCCCGCCGCCTGGATGTATTCGCCGGCCCTTCTTCTTGTGCATCGTACAGCCTAGGCGCAGTGAGGTGCGCCTGTGAACTTTGACCCCGCCCGCTTAATGGCCGCCACCTTTGAGAACTGCGGCGCGGGCAGCCACTGTCAGCCTCATACCCTGTGTCTTGAGCACCCACTCCTCTTGTCCCGCGTAAGGCAGCCTCTCCTTGCATGTGGGTTGCCAAGGAGAGTGAGACCCACCTTCCAACCTTCTGGCAACGTGGCACCCTGTGCCGATTCTGTGTCTAGACTGGGGACCGTAAAACAGATTCCCCAATATGCCGCATTGGACACCCATATCAGTTCTAAGCCGGTACAGTGCCGTTTTTTATACATGCTCCGCGTGTGGATCATGTATTAAACATGCAGGGATTGAGTACTAAAAACAACGATGAGCTCATGCATAAATTTGTTCATAAACTAATCATGCATTCAAAATCCAATATTTCTAAAAACCCTGTGTATAAAAACTGCCCTGTACCCTCTGCAATTGTCGGACCATCCCTGCCCCAGTTAAAGGAGCGCCAAAGGGCACCACCTTGCTCCCTCCCTCCTCCCTCCCCTCCCTAGGAGAGTGGAACCCACCTTCACCTTCTTGCCTTCTGGCAATTTGGCACACTGCTCCGATTTTGTGTCATTAGGCTGTGGACTGTACCACAAATTCCCCAACATGCCGCACTGGACACCTAATACCAGTTCTGAGCCGGTACCCTCTGCAATTGTCGTGCCATCCCTGCCCGAGTTGAGAAGGGCGCCAAAGGGCACCACCTTCCTTCCTCCCTCCCCCCTCCTCCCCCCCTGCTCGCCTCCCGCCTCCCCCCGTCGCGAAGGCATCGCGCTGGCCTGCTCTGGGAACGAGATGGGTACCTCTCAACACGTGTGTCAAATAGTTTGCTGCTGATGGGTGTGCGCGAACGCCCTGGCCAAGAGAAAAAACACGGGTCCTGGCGAAGGACCCAACCATATGCGGTTGTGAGCACCGCAACTGTGAACAGCTTCTTCGGTGGAGCTCCCTATGGCTTGGCATCGCTCGGACGTGTGCATCTTTCCTTCGGCGAGGACCATCGAGGAGCATCCTTGATCATTTGGCGAAAAAACCACGCACGAAACCGAAAACAAAAACAGGGAATGGACGTCCGAGCGATGGCCAGTATGCGGTTGTGAGCACCGCAACTGTGAACATCTTCTTCGGTGGAGCTCCCTGTGAGGCCACGCCGCGCAGCACTGGGTGGGGGGAACCGCATGCGGACGGCAGCACTGGGGCCGTCACCACCGAACGCGCGACTGTGCACGGGCCTCACAGGGACGCGGGTGTAGTTCTTGTGCGTCCGGAGCTCCTCAGACGCCGCGCGAACCTCGGGCCACCGGAGGCTTTCCTGGTCACGCAAAGCATCGTAGAAGAAACACTCACGAGTACGTCTCTGCCTACTCCAGGGACGCATGATAGCAACTCTGTTTTTGTGCTTGTCGACAGGCGCAACCACGGCTATTTCAAACAATGCGCGACGCCATTATTGCACATCGTTTTGGGCAACGCCAGAACAGCGAAAGTGATAGTGGCGATGGTATTCACGGGCAGCGGAATCATGCAAAGTTTCTGATGTTCAGGCCCACGTAAGGAGCCACGAGACTGCATGTAGAACAGCATGGTCAGCAATGTTTCCAATTGTCGCTTCAAAGCGTTACGCAAGCCCCTTCATCATGAACAGTGTTAGGGATGCAACCGGCAAGAGTAGAGTCAGGGGCGAGACAAGAAACATTTTCATTAGTAGACACGCCAACGCACAACATGCTGTGCAACACGCCACACGTAAACGGAACTTCGTACCGGTCCAACTTACGAGCCGAATGCTTCGAGCTCGCCAAATTTTCTGGAGAGTTGGGGGCAGAATAATTAAGGAACGAGGGCCGAAGGGACCCTGGGAACCCAGGGAGCCCCGAGGAACGTCACTGCAGAGGAGCAAGGCCGGGGCACCCTCTCACCGCCGCCCTCCGCCGCCCGCCGCCCTCCCGCCCCCCCTCTCGCTCCTGCGCGCGGCAGCTCCCCCGCTGCGCCCGCCACTCCTCCCCCCCCCTTGTCCGGTCCCTCCTCCTCCTCCTCCTCCTCCTCCTCCTCCTTCACCATAGACAAACGTACCGCTACCACCAGCTAAGGGGGTGGCCCTCCCGCCCTCTCGAGCCGGTGGCGCCCCGTTCTGGGCATGCCTCCAGAGGGCGCCCTGAGGGAGGTGCCACGGGCTCGAGGGGAGGGAGCGGCCACCCCCTCGGCTGGTGGTAGTGGTTCTTTTGTCTCTCCTGGTGAGCTTTTTATTATTCAATGTTTTGCCGATCGGCGCGGGCCCCCGACACCCCCCCCCCCCGTGGAGCAGATCTTGGCCGTTTTCGGCACCCGTCTCGAGCAGGTGGAGCCTCCCCCACCATGGACGCACTGCTGCAAGCAGCCGCGCGAAGCAGAGGGCCCGGAGCCAGGACCCCCCCCCTTTCGCCCACTGTCGAAACGCCGAATGAAAGCACGCTCACCCGATTCCCCGGGCTCCCTGCCCGCGAGGTTGGCACCCTCGTCTTCGCCACTGCCGGCGCCGCGCTGGCGCTGCGCGCCGCCTCGCGCCGGGCCGCGGGGAAGCCCCGCGCCGCGGCGGTGGCGAGGCGAGCCAAGGACCACGTCAACCTCGGCACGGTGGGCCACGTGGACCACGGCAAGACGACCCTGTCGGCGGCGATCTCGGTGGTGTGCTCGCAGTTCAACACGAGGCGCGCGTCTCTTCCTTCTCGAAGACAGGACAACCACGTAAACATGCACTTTGGGCGCTCCGCGCGGGTGTCCTGGATCCGCGCTGGGCCCCCCCAGCAGCGCCTCCGGCGCCGCCCCTGGCGCGCGGAGGGAGGGGGTTCCGGCGCGGATCCAGGAAATCCGCGCGGACCTCCAAAAGGTTTTGTTTATGTGGCTTTTTCTTCCTCTATACTCATTGTTTTGCCGATCGGTGCGGGCCCTCGCACTCCCCCCCCTCCCCCCCCGCATGGAGCAGACCTTGACTGCTTTGGGCGGCTGTTTTTCGAGCAGGTGCAGCCTCTCCCATGATGGACACGCTGCTGCAAACCGTCGCACTGGGCAGAGGTCCAGAGCCAGCCCCCCGCCCCCTCTTGGCTCAATGTCGAAACGCCGAATAAGAAAGCGCTCACAAGCACGGACACCAAGATGAAGTCGTACGAGGAGATCGACAACGCCCCCGAGGAGCGGGCCCGCGGGATCACGATCAACGCCTCGCACATCGAGTACGAGACGCCGACGCGCCACTACTGCCACGTGGACTGCCCTGGCCACGCGGACTACGTCAAGAACATGATCACGGGCGCTTGCCAGATGGACGGCGGCATCCTGGTGATCTCGTCTCCCGACGGTCCCATGGCCCAGACCCGCGAGCACATCCTGCTCTCGAAGCAGGTGGGCGTGCCCAAGCTCGTCTGCTTCATGAACAAGGTGGGCGCACTGCTCCCGCGACTCCGCGGGAAAGAGGGGGTGGGGCAGAAGACAGTCGCGCGGATCCTGGCCGGGTCACGGGACGGCCAATGTGCACGGATTCAGCAGCGATGCTTGAGGCATGAAGTAACACGGGGCTCGAGGGAAACGGGTCTTGGAATCCCGGGGGTTCTCTTCTCGGGCCCGTTCTTCAATACGCATGGATCTAGCCCTCCCAGATGGGGTCCGAGTAGATGGGGTCGGAGGATCGCGCCGCATCGCCGATGCCTCGGCCGACACCGCCGATGCCTCGATGTGGAGCCCGTGTTTCCCCACGCCGACACCGCCGATGCATCGCCGACGTCGCCGATGCATCGGCGATGTATCGCTGATGCATCGGCGGCGCGATCCTCCGACCTCATCTACTCTAACCCCATCGAGGAGGCCTCTAAGTACGCGTGAAGTGGTCGGTCTGGGCGTGAGGCCGAATACACACGTGGCCGCATGTCTCCTCAGCGCTCCGCCGTCGTGTGGTTGCGCGCGCGCCTGCTATTTGCACGCGTGTCCAGCGCGTTGCCTCCATGCGTTCCACATGCGAGTCCAGCTACGTGTGCTCCCAGCCTCCTGAGCTTCTCTCTCCCTCTCTCTTCCTGAGTCTCCATCTCTCTCTCTCGCTCTCTCTTTCGTTTTCGTCGTTCTGGTATCATGTTCTCTCTCTCTCTCTCTCTCTCTCACTCTCTCTGTAAATATAAACATGTGAAGGCGAAGAATCGACACTAGTCTCAAATGTCGGAGGTCCGCGCGGATGTGTGTGTGTGTGTGTTTTGTCGTTGTTTCTCTCTCTCTCTCTCGCTCTCTCTTTCTCTATTATTGTTTTTTTTTGTTTCTCTCGCTCTCTCTCTCTCTCTCTCTCTCTCTCTCGCTCTTCCTATCAATATCTCTCTCTCGCTCTTTCTGACGGGGAAGAATCGGCATGAACATCAAACGTCGGAGGTCCGCGCGGACTTCGGTCAACGCTGGACCCCCCCCCCCCGGTGGCGGCGCCTCCAGCGCCTCCCCTGGCGCGTTCCGCGCGGCAGAGGAGGGGACCCAGCGCACGCCCAAGAACATCCGCGTAGACCTCTGGAAGTTTGTGTTCATGCATGCGTTATGTGCTCGATTGCCTCTCTCTCTCTCTCTTCTCCTCCTCCTCCTCCTGCTCCTCCTCCTCCTCCTCCTTCTCCTCCCCCGCTTTCCTCCTCCTCCTCCTCCTCCTCCTCCTCCTCCTCCTCCTCCTCCTCCTCCTCCTCCTCCTCCTCCTCCTCCTCCCCCTTCCTCCTCCTCCTCCTCTCCTCCTTGCCCGACGAGCTTCGTGCCCTCCTCCTTCTCCTCCTCCTCTTTCCCTCCTCCTCCTCCTCCTCCTCCGCCTCCTCCTCCTCGTCCTCCTCCTCCTCCTCCTCCTCCTCCTCCTCCTCCTCCTCCTCCTCCCCCGCTTTCCTCCTCCTCCTCCTCCTCCTCCTCATCCTCCTCATCCTCCTCATCCTCCTCTTCCTCCTCTTCCTCCTCCTCCCCTGCTTTCCTCCTCCTCCTCCTCCTCCTCCTCCTCCTCTCCTCCTCCTCCTCCTCCTCCCGCTTTCCTCCTCCTCCTCCTCCTTTCCCTCCTCCTCCTCTCCTTCCTCCTCCTCCTCTCTCCTCTCCTCCTCCTCCTCCTCCTCCTTCCTCCTCCTCCTCCTTCTCCCCATCCTCCTCCTCCTCCTCCTCCTCCTCCTGCTCCTCCTCCTCCTCCTCTTCCTCCTCCTCCTTCTCCACCTCCTCTCTCTCTCTCTCTCTCTTTCTCTTGTTTTCAGTGCCCGTGTGTTCATTGTTGCTTTGCCCCCGTGCGCACGTCCAGCGGCGGGACCGTCGCGGGTCATCCGCAAGAGGTGGACGTGATGGATGACGAGGAGTTGCTGGAGCTCGTCGAGTTGGAGACCCGTGAGATGCTGAGCCAGTACGGCTTCCCTGGCGACGACGTGCCCTTCGTCCAGGGCTCCGCGCTGCAGGCCTAGCTACTGCTGCGGCTGCGACTTCTCCTACTGCTGCTTCTCCTCCCCATCTTCCCCTCACCTACAGGCGCTCGAGGCCATGAAGGCGAACCCTGGCACCAAGCGTGGCGACGACAAGTGGTGCGACAAGATTTTGGAGCTCATGGACACGGTGGACGAGTGCCCCGAGATTTGTCGCCGCCAAAAATCACAACGGCACGAACAAATTAACAACGAAGTTCCCCGACCTTGTCTTTCAGCAGCCCTCTTCGGGTTGGATGGATCCTCTTAGGGTCGGGCGCCCGTTTTTCCTGTCACGACGCCTGGGTCTGAATTCTTGACGCTTCGCGTATCTCCACCAGACGGTGGCATAGCCTGCCCCTGCTAGCCCTGCGTTCGACCTGTTTCGCGCGCACGCGTACCAAAAAGTATCTCCATCAGGGTGTCGTCATCCTGGCGCCGTGTGTTCGCGGTCGCCACGGGACGCCCTCTTGCACGGCTTCGCCGCGCCGGCCACTATAGCTGCTTCCGGGTCTCGGCGCGTTGGCCGCCCTGATGGCTGGTCTCACTGCTTGTCGTTTCCTCCACAGAAGGTCCCAGCGGCGCAGACCGCATGTGTCCCCGCCACCCGTTCCGGCACGCCCCTCGCGCGTTTCGTGGCCCCCCCCCATAGGGGGCTTCCCCGAAGGCCCCACTGGCACAGCCCGCGTGCGCCCTGCCCATTCTGGCCCGCCCCTGACATGTTTCGTGGCCCCATGGGAGTTCCACGAAGGTATCAGCGGCGCAGCCCGCACGCGTCCCCGCCACCCATTTTGACACACCCCTCGAGCGCTTCGCGGCCCCGTTGGGAGCTCCGCCGAAGGTCCCAATTGCGCAGCCTGCATGCGCCACAACCTCTCATGTTGACACGCCCCATCAAATGCCTCGCGGTGGCCCGATGGGAACTCCACCGAAGGCCCCAATGGCGCAGCCCGCATGCGCCCCCGCCATTCTTTCCGGCACACCCCTCGCGCGCTTCGTGGCCCCATAGTAGCCATAGTAGCTCAATCGAAGGTCCCGCTGGCGCATGCCGCACGCGCGCGCGCCCGGGGGTGGTTCTGGAAGCGTTTCTTCGCAATGCCCCCTACGGCACATCATTGCGCGCTTTCGCCGGGAAGGGGCGCAATTTCGAAAAACCTCTCTGCGGCCTGGAATCTGGCCGCCCAGGAGTCTTTCGAAATCCTCCGCCGCGGGGCGGGGGGCGAGCGCAGTTTCGAAAAATTGCATTGCTAAGGGCAGGCGATTAAACGCTCCTCGAAATTCGGCGCCAGGGTAGGGGGCCGCAGTTGCGATAAACTCTTCCGCGGCTTGAAATCTGGCCGCATGGGAGTTTCTCAAAATTCGCTGCTGGGGGGGAGGGGTGCAATGTCGAAACTCCTCCGCAGCTTGAAATCTGGCCGCCCGGGGGGGCCTCGAACTCCATTCCCCGCCGGCGTGCGGGGGGCGACCGCAATCTCGAAGACCTGCCCCGCTAAGGACTGGCGATTAAACGCTCAAAATTCCGCGCCAGCGTAGACGGCGCAATTTCGAGGAATTCACCCGCGGCATGAAATCTGGCCGCCCTGGAGTTTCTCGAAATTCTTCGCTGGGGGGCGGGGGGCGAGCGTAGTTTCGAAGAATTGCCTCGCTAAGGACGGGCGATTAAGCGCTCTTCGAAATTTAGGGAGCTGCAATTGCGAGAAACTCCCCCGCGGCTTGAACTCTGGCCGCTTGCGAGTTTCTCACAATTCCCCGCCGGGGGGAGGGGGAGGGGGGGGGATTTCGAGAAACTTTTCCGCGGCCTGAAATCTGGCCACCTGAGGGTTTCTCGAACCTCCTCCCCCGCTGAGGGGCGCGGGGCGAGCGCAATCTCGAAGAATTGCCCCGCAGAGGACCGGCGATTACAGGCACTTCGAAATCCCGCGCAGGGGTAGGGGGCCGCAATTTCGAGCAACTCCTCCGCGGCCTGAAATCTGGCCATTTGGAAACCTTTCGACTTTCCCCGCTGGGGGGCGAGGGGTGGGCGCGGTCCGAAACCTGGCCGCTCGAGAGTTTCTCTTCACGTGGGGGCGGGCGGGGGCGAGCGCAATCTCGAGGAACCGCCCCGACAAGGACTGACGATTAAATGTTTTCGAAATTCCACGCCAGGGCAGGGGGGCGCAATTCCGAGAACCCCCCCACACCACGGCCTGAAATCGGGCTGTTTGGGAGTTTCTCGAACTTCTCCGCTAGTGATCTAGGGGCGGGCGCAATTTCGAGAAACCCCTCCGCGGCCAGAAGTCCGGCCGCTTGGGGGTCTCTCGAAATTCCCCGCTGGGGTGGGGGGGGGCGGGGGGCGAGCGCAATGTCGAATAATTGCCCCGCTAAGGACTGGCGATTAAACGCTCTTCGAAATTCCGCGCCAAGGTCGGGGGCGCAATTTCGAAACTGTTTCGCGGCCTGAAATCTGGCAGCCGGCGGGTTTGTTGCATTCCCCGCTGGGGGGCGGGGGGCGAGCGCAATCTCGAAGAATTACCCAGCTAAGGACTGGCGATCAAACCGTCTTCGAAATTCCCCGCCAGGGCAAGGGGGCCGCAATTTCGAGAAACTCACCCGCCGCCTGAAATCTGGCCGCTCAAGAGTTTCTCTGAATTTCTCCTCTGAATTCCCCGATGGGGCGCGGGGGGGCGAGCGCGATCTCGAAGAATTGCCCCGCTAAGGACTGGCATTGAACGCTCCTCGAAATTATGCGCCAGGGTAAGGGGGTCGGATCTTCGAGAAACTCACCCGCGGCCGGAAACCTGGCCGCCCAGGAGTTCCTCGAAATTCCCTGCTTGGGGGCGAGGGGCGGGCGCAATTTCGAGAAACTCCTCCGCGGCCTGCAATCTGGCCGCTTGGGAGTTTCTCGAAATCCCCCGCTGGGGCGCAGGGGGCGAGCGCAGTTTCGAAGAATGTCTGGCGCTTCGCGTATCCGCACCAGCCTGGTGGTCTTCTTGGCCACATCCTGGTACCACCCCCGCGCCATTTTGGCTGCGCTCCAACCCTGGTTGGTTAATCGTGCATGTGCGCGCTCCTGGGCCTGGTTCCTGGCAGCTGCAGCTGGCACCCCCCCCTCACGCCGGCCCGCCCGCCCAGGTGCTGCTTAGGTCGCCGGCCCGTCGGCGTTTGGCAATTAGGTTCGTGCGCGGCCCGCTCGGACCTTACTCGCCGGTAGCGCTTTCGCCTGCGGCCGCGACGCAAAAAAGTATCCGCACCAGCCCATTGAGAAACAATGCCCATGAGAGTTGACAGGGGGAGAGAGGAAGAGACACGCGTAGTCAAACAGCGAGGGAGGTTTGGGAGGTTCTGTGGTCATCTCGAACCGTCCTGGAGCGGTCTTAGGGCCGCTTGGAGCATCTTGGGAGCCATCTTCAGCCAGCTTGGGCTATCTGAGCCATCTTGGAGGTCATCTTGGGCTCTCTGAGGCCGCTCGGGGGCCTCTTGGGTGCCTCTCGGGTGCTTCTTGGAACCCTCTTGCGGCCTCTTGGGACGCTCTTGCGGCCTCTTGGGACGCTATTGGGGGCCTCCTGGGAGCCCTGGAGCGCCTTTTTGGGCCATTTCGGATGCGGCCGGTCAAAAGAGGAGGGGTACGAAATGGAGCTCCCCGCCTCGGGGGCCACGATCCTCGTGAATGGTGTCCAAGATTGGCCCTCCCAGGGGCCGAAAAAGGACCCTCTGACACATCGGCCCCCCTCCCAGAAAACCGCGGGGAGGGGGAGGGGGAGGGCTCCCCTCCCCGAAGGGAAGAGGGGTCGTGGAAGAGGAAAGAGACCCTCCTTAGACCGCCTACCGCCCAAAGGACTGGAGGGGTTACCCCGCTAATGGGCTCCTACTGTATGAGATCCCCCGCCGCCCCCCTGTCAGAAAAGCGATGCAGAGCAATCGCGGGGGGCCCGAACATGGTCCATAGCGTGGCGCAAAGCGCATTTTGTCTTTGTTTCTGACGGGAATGAGCGGGGAGGTGACGTTGTTCCTCGTCGGTCGCCGCTCGAATGGGGAAGGGGGGTCCTAAGAAGAAGCGGTGCTAAACCCTTCCCCGAAGGGAAATAAGGGAGTTGGAAGGGGAAACGATCCAAACCACCTACGCCCAGAGGGCTGGTGGGAGCTTCCGAGCCGGATCGATCCGTGAGGGTCTGGGGGCCCGACTTGGGCCAGAAACGCCCGTTGAAATGTATCACGACGCTGGGATCTGAGGTACGTCTCGCACGCGAAGCATTTTTTCGAGGGCCATCGCGTAGGTGTTATGGTCAGGGAGCCAGGCTACGTGTGGAAGTTACGTTGCCAGTCGCACACGCCAGGCACCCGGCCTCGTACTTGTTATCCTTGTGCGTAGGATGAGCTGTTTTCGGATGGGGCTAGGACGAAGATACATCCTTTCCAGGGCGTTCCGGAACGCTCTCACAGCGTTCCGGAACGTTCTGAGAAGGCCGCGGCGCCCAATACATCTTCCAGAATCGCCAGATCTCAGAGATTATCGAGTGATCCTCACCAGTTTCTATCCTCGCCTTGGCTTCGTCTTATGCTCGAGGTACATCGATCTCCCCGAGCGCCAGACCGACAAGCCCTTCCTGCTGGCCGTCGAGGACGTGTTCTCCATCTCGGGCCGCGGCACGGTGGCGACTGGCCGCGTGGAGCAGGGCGTCGTGAAAAAGGGCGACGAGGTCGAGATCTTGGGCAGAGGCAAGAAGGCGCAGAAGTCCGTCGTCACGGGGATCAGGATCGGAGAGCTCCAGCCACACACCTGCGCCTCCGTTGCTCCTGGCCAGGCCAGTCCTTGTTGGGCTCATTTTCCACCACCACTACCATGAGTAGGAGAGGGAGGAGGAGGAGGAGGAGGAGGAGGAGGAGGAGGAGGACCTCCTCCTCCTCTCTTCTCCCCCGTCCTGCATGCAGTAGTGGCCGTGGAGGGTGTGCCCATCAGTCCTGGGCCCAGGCTCGGTGCCCACGTCCCTTCTGGCTCCGGCCGAGGGGGCGGGCGCACCGCTCCCTCGGCCCTGGGGTGGGCCTGGCCAGGGACCGACGTGCAGGTCCAAGTCGGGCAGGCCCCTCTACAGGACGACGATTCAAAAGCAGTTATAAAAAAATGCTGGAGACGATTTTCCGAGTATTTCCGAGCACGTTTGGGAGTATTTGTTCTCTTCTTTTCTATTTTGCCTCCGAAATCCCTTCCGAGCACTTTTAGAGTATTTGCTTTCTTCTTTCTAGTTTTGCATCCACAATCCCCCTGCAGGGTGGACAGGCTTGGAGACGATTTTCCGAGTATTTCCGAGCACTTTGGGAGTATCTGTTGTCTTCTTTTCCATGTTGCGCCCAAAATCCCTTCCGAGCACTTTTGGAGTATTTGCTGTCTTCTTCCTAAGCTTGCATCCCAAATCCCCCTTGCAGGGGGGACGGGCCCGACCCAAGTGTAGGCGTGTGGCCGGCGCCCCCCTGGCAGGATGTTCAACACCGACCTCCCCGAGGCCGGGGGCGCAGGGAACTCGCACAAAGCATGCGGCGGCGAGCGCGCGGGGGAGGCGGCAAGGAAGAGGCCTTCACAGGCTTGGCATCGCTCGGACGTGTGCATTTTTCCTTCGGCGAGGGCCATCGAGGAGCATCCTTGAGCATTTGGCGAAAAAACCACGCACGAAACCAACAAAAACACGGAATCGACGTCCGAGCGATGGCCAGCAGGAGGCCTGGAAGTCCACCGGCCTTCTGAGAAGTCTTCTGGGCCTCCCCCGAAGGCAGAACACATTTTCTCGGAGGGCGCGGGAGCTTCCGAGAAGCTCCGCTGCCTCTTGAGAAGGCCCTCGCCTTCTCAGCTCCCCTCTCGCTCGCCGCCGAAACATGAACCTCGGACGTCAGCGGACCGTTGATTCCCGCATGTGCGGGACTCCGTCCGCGCACCTCTGGGCGGCGCCTTGCCCAGCGCGCTGCGCGCACGGTGTAGTGGTGCAGGTTGTTCGGATGGTCCCCGATCCCAGAATAGCTTCCGAAAGCGGAAACCGTTGCAGATTCCAGGGACATGCCCACCGCGTCTGCAACAGATGGTTATATTAAGAGGTCATCCAGGACGAAATGACATTTGAAAGGGCGCATTGCCATTTCTCAGAGCTGTATGGAGAACATATACATTGCGTGCCCCACGATAACCATATGAGGTGGGACCGAAAGGGTGTGTATTACAGGCGTCAGACGTCATTCCGCTGAACCTACCATAAACTCGCGACACGTGCTGCAGTTTCGCATCTGGCAGCGCCAAGGGACGGGAGGTCTAGTTTGGATCCGCGTAGCACCATACTTGAGCTCTCGGGAAACCACGAATTTACGGCAGTTGCGCAGTTGCCATCGGCCAGGGAGGGGAGGTTTAGCCCAGGTCTGTTCAGGACCGCACTCCGCTGGACCTCATGAGATTTCACGAAAGTGGGGTCAGTAGCCATTTTGTCTCAAGTTCACGCCTTGCCCTGGGCGATTGAGCCTGGTCGCTGCACAGGGGCTGGTTCCGACCGGTTCTTTCGAGGCAAACAATCGTGCGCCGACGCACGCTCCGTTTCAGCTCGTCTCCTGTTGTCGCGACGCCGTAACACTTCTACCGGTCACATCCGTTTCTACCTTGCAGACGATGGGGCGCAAAAGCCAGCGTGTTGTTCGCTTCTCCATGGAAATATCGCAGGAGCGCAGACACAGAAGATATCGGCGGCGTCATTACTGCTCATGCATATGTTCCAGCCGATCCCGCTCGAGTTCTCCCCATCGTTATCAGCCTTGTCCACGAGATGTTCGTTCACCCCATTCATCGACTTCGTCGGCGGAGTCCAAGACTGACGCGTCCAGCGGCAACATTGAGACACGGCAGGTCGTTCAGAGCGTTATAGCAGAGTCGGGTTAGCTGGAGCCTCTTGGCTTCCCAGTTCTCATGCCTGGGGTCTCGGTCACGTGCAGCGCCTGGGTTTGGACCAGCCGAATCGATGATGCTGTGTGCCCGATGATATTTCAAGCAGCCTGCACTGTCGCGACCACTCTGCCAGTGCCGTGGGGCATCCACGCTGCATGGGGTTCCAGAATGTATGCTGTTCTTGGGTCGATCATGGTGTGGAAAAACATGTGGTTCAAGCTTCGTTTCGTGATGGGTGTTGCAGCATGAGTGGTTCCTGGGCCTCAATTCCTCTTGCAGGCGCGACTCCACGAGCACCGTCGCCCTGCTCTCTTCGAGGCAAATTTTGTTCAGTCCATTGTTTTCCAGCTGTATCACGATGACTCGGATGTTTGTCTAGCCGCAGGCACCGATCTCTCGCGTCGGGTCATCGTTCCTGAAGTGGAGACGCACTCCAAGCTGGGCCTTCGCAAGCATGACGTCTTCCACGACGTCGGTCGAGGCAAAATGCCATGGCACTGGTAGGCCCCTGGTAACTCTTCCGCAGGTCGACGGGCCATGCCATTCAGATCGTGCAAATCGCATGTGGCAGCCTGTATACGTTCAGCTCAAGCTTCGGTTGAAACTGATTTCTGCGGACTCGAAACCCTCGCGCCCCATCGTTTCAGACTGGTGCCCCCCGCGTTGTGCAGTTCAGGTCCACCGTGACTTGGCTCTCGCAGCAGTCGCCCCCTGAGCCCTCTGACCCCTGAGATGCTCAGCGGAGCGGGGAATGCAATTCATGCGTCGAGCGAGTTCAGCCCACCCCTGTCGCAGCGCGATCTTGAGAGCATGACCGAATGCATCAGGATCCCGCATGTAAAAGCGAGCCGCCACGCGCTCGGAGCGCGCGCAGCTTCGCGGCAGGCCCGGCTCAATTCGGCCCCGCGTCGAATTGCGGGGCCTGCGCGCCGTCTATTTCTCACCGTTGTCGACCCCCTTCCCGCCCTATGACACGGGGCCCGAGGGGCCGCGTGCCCCGCCCGACCAGGCGGTCGAATTCGAAGCGTTGGCCTGGGCCCCTATTTGGCAGCAACACTGTCTTCGGGGCGAGAGAGCGGCGTTAGCTGACCCGCGCGCGCGCGCCCTTCAATCCCCGCGTATTCCACCAATACTCATTGACACGTTGAACAGAATCTTTATTTTTATGGCAGGCTCTCGCGGCCACGGCTCGGACGACGCCGAGCCCCGCCTGGTCAAGGAGGTTCGCCTGAAAGCCAAGCTGCACGCCGCGAATATGCTGGCGGCGTGGGAGGTAGCAGCGCTACGTTTTATCGGCCGTTTGCCCTTATGGCGTTGACCCCTATGCCTGATGGGGGCGAGCGGCCACCCGCCCCTCTATTCGGTTTTGCCCGCCCCTTCCACCCCCGCGTCGGGGGGCCCCTCGTCGCCCAGCGGGAACGTGACGCGCGCGGACCCTGGGGTGCCACTGTAGGAGGACATGCTGATGCTGCAGGCTGGATCGAGGATATCGAAAGGGAGTGAGTTTTGCACTCAGGCCCCGAGGTCGCTGGGCCCGTGCTCGATACGAAGGAAGGTTTGGATCAGTTCTGCTTAGAGGAACTTAGGCCATCGAACCCAGGCGTCAAGCACTCTTCCTAGACGGGGCCGCGCGCGCGGGGATCCCGGCCCGCGGCGGCGAGCCCGCGGGCCGCGTGCAAGCTGCGTCGCTAGCGCGAGGGCGCCTCCACGACCCCCTCGCGGGTGCTAACCCCTCAGTCCCTGGCTTCCGCTCGAGAGGACGGGTCGACGACATTTCGGCTCGACCGGTCGGACCCCCACTGAAGTGTTGCGGCTACCTTTTTCTACTTTGCCTCATGCTCACTTGGTCCGCCGCTGTCAGCTCTCGTCGGACAAGTCCCACCTGCTTGCGTCCTCGCCAGAGTGGCGCTCAGAGCTTTCCGACCTGGCCACTGAGGCTGGCTGCGATTTCACGGTTTCCTCGGCTGCCGAGGACTTGGGGCGCGACGCGGCTCTTGGCGCAAGGCGCAGGGTAGGTCTTCGCAGGGCGAGGTTGTCGAAAAGCCGCAATGCTACCAATGGCATTTGTCTGTTTTCTACGGCGTTCGTCGAGCAGCCAGCAATCTGTTCCATCCAAGAGCAATTGCCAGGGCGACGTGGGCCCCTTAGTTTTAGGGGGCCCACTTCAATGCCGCGCGGGTTCCGGAGCATGGCGCGCGCTGACAGACGCTTCAGCAGGCCCAGTCCTGCCCGAATCTTTCTGTCCTCGACCCCCGGCCAGGTGATTCTGGGGACCTGGCGGCCGACGGCCAGGCGCCCTTCGGCCCGCCACCACATGCTTCTCACGAGTCGATTTCACAAGCAGCTGTGGAAACAGCACCCAGGGTTCGGCGTCGCTCGCACGGGAGTCGGCTGTGTCTCCTGAGAAGGGTGGCCATTCATCGCCGTTGGCGTCTACCTGGGCGGAGACGAGGAGGCGCGCTGCGACGCCGGCCTCTGGCCCCATCCGCCGCCGTTGCAGGCGCGACACAGAGTCTTCTGACCGCCGCCTCTGGATCGCACGATCAATGCCCTCCACTGTGCCAGACGCAGCTGATTCCCAGCGCCTGCGCCACGTGGCGCCGCGGGAAGTTTCGCCGTTTTTGCTTCGGGGGTCCGAGGGCTGACCCCAGCTTTCTGGATCCATTTGGTTCGTATTCCTGATTCGAGGTCGGTTCCTGGCCCCCGCGCGCCCGGGCCCCCCTGCGGCGGGAGCTCTTACTGGGGGGCAGCGTGCAACCAATGGATCTGGGGGCCCGCGCTCAAAGCCGCCAGTTTTCACGCGCGTCGCCTTCTCGCTCGTCAGGATGCCCCAGGTTCTGATTTCGAATGGGATTGTTTCATCAATGGCGCGCTGGACGATCAGAGGCAAGCGGTCTCTCGCGCCGAACTCGCGGCCAATGTTGGGCGCTTGCGTTCAGCCGATTCAACCCGAGACCCGCGCGCGGTGACTGACCATTGCACCGTTATCAGCGCGTGCTTTGGAGGAGAAGCTAGGTCCTCCAAGCTTGCGAATTACGACCTGTGGTGGGAGTTCTGGCAGCTACTCGATGTTCGCCCCGCTCCGCCTCGCGCTCTCGCATGCCACTTTCGCGCCTGATTGATGATGCTTCCAAGTGCTCTCGCTTCTGGTTCTCGGTCGATTGGAACCGCGCCACCGTTCATTCAGTTGCCGACGCTCGCGCAGATGCCAGAGCGGGAGATCGCCGAAGCCTTCCTGATTTTGCCGTTGGCCACAACGACTCGGTCGCTTAAGCGCGCCGTGCTGCGCCGGAAAAGCAAGCGCATTTAAGGGGCGCGTGGCTCTGCGCGCGGTGCTCGGCGGCGCGCTTGCCAAGGTGCCAACTGACCTGGCCCACCAGCGTCGAAGGCGGGGTGCCGCCGATGTTCGGTCGAGCCCCCACTCCCAGGCCTCGCGCGGAGGTCTATGCAAATGCTCCTCGCGCAACGGCCGGCTCAAGGGCTCGGCCCCCGTCGCGGCGCTCGCGCCGCCTCGCCCCCGGCGCTCTGCTTCGCGACCGCGGGGGGGCGGGGCGGGCGCGCGCCGGGGGGGGGGGGTCCAGGCCC